ATCAACCGCGTTGACACTAAAACCGCAGTGTAAATATATTTTCAATACAAAGACCGAAAAACTCAATTTACAGACTGAATTGTTGTTGCGTATTGGAGGCCTCGAAACAATTTGCACGGAGTTGCAATTGTTTTCTGAAACAATGTATTGAGAGAAAACTATAAAACGCGTAATTATTTTTTTTTTAAAAAGAATCATCTTTTATATTTGTTACTATGTAGAGCAATCTTTGTAACTCTTTGATAAGTAGTAATTTGGTCGAAAGATGTTGTTTAGTTGTTCATGTTTCTCAAATAGTAGCATCGAAAATTGTTATTCAAGATTTACTAATATAAAACAAAGATATTTAAATTCGAGCTTAAATCAGTTAAAAGATGTTCATTAGTTCGCATTGAAACCATGTCATAGTTTATAAAAACTCTTACACATATGTGAATATAACGGGCAATACACAAAAAAAGAGAGTACATAATGTACTAACCATAATGATAGAAATATCAACATATGAATTCGAATTTATTAGAAAAAAGTTATTGAAAAAATTGACAAATGCACGATGAGAATTGTCCACAAAGAGTATGCAAGAGAGATGATGTTAATTTAATAAAATAACAGATAACTTAAATATTAAATAGTATAGAAATTTTATTATTAAAACCGTATACAGTTGTAGTATTTCTAATTAGATAAAACAAGTCATCTGTCACTCAATTCTCAATTTAATTAACTTTAATCAACAATACAAGACGTAATTAATATCAAGTTAATCCTAATTATTCTAAGATAAACGTGACTTGAGATCATCTTAGACAAGCTTAGTAAATGGAATTTGGAATCAAATATGCTACGCGCGAAGTATACATGGCTATAAAATTTAATTTAATTTTACAAGTCTTACGGCTTAATATTGAAACGAATTTTAAATCGCTTAATATTTACTTTCTAACAGATGTCAAAATATTAAAATGGAATCAGCAGTTTTCAACTGTTGAAAATCTACCAATCCATTATTGTAGATGGATTGGACTCGATTAGCTGGTCTTTAATTGTTTTTTTGTTTTCTTAATAAAATTAAAGAGTTTATTTAAAAATCTAATCTCAGCTACTTCAGATAAAATATATATTCGTTTTTGACTATGACATTAGTTGGCATTGTTTATGTTTTTATGTTTTTGGCATTTAGCAACGTGCCTGGGACTACAATTATGTACAAACTTAGATCTTAAAACGTCATATTTACGGTATTCTTCTATGTTTGATTGCCGTCCATCATGGCATACCCTTGGGAAGCGAGTAAGTCATACTTTAATTAATTAGTACGCAAAAAGCTTTATTCCCAAGGTACTTGTAAGCTTTCATATAAATTAAATATAATCCTAAGGATTCGTTCGTTCGGAGATAGATCATCAAAATTTATACGCAAAAAAAATTATCTCACCACAAAAATTATCATTTCTATGGTACTTGATGAATAGTTGAAGGCGATTTTATTGTTAAAGTTAAGTAACTTAACAGAAGCACGATCATGAAAACTTAGTTAGTTCGTATTTAATACGTAAAGTTAAGACCATTATGTTCGTTTTAACGAGTTTTGACTAACATTTATCTAATTCAATGGAAACAAAATGGACTTCCCTTTAATAGTCGTTTAGTGTATGAAATCCGGTTCCAAAATACCAAAAAAAAAGTAAGTTGATCAAGTGTTTAATGTACTAATACAAGATATAAATTTTGTTCTCAATACTAATGTTATGAAGAGGAAAATGATCCTTTTTTAAATAACTCAATTACTGGGCCGTTTTCAAAAATACTTTTACCATTAAAAAACTGCGATATCAATAAGTACTAGTAGTAGGCTTTATTTTTCATTATTTTGAAAAGCCATCTTTTTGATGATAGCCCTTGAACAGAATATTTTATTTATATACAGTATATATAATGTTTTATTTATATATGTATGTATTTTATGTAATTCTACACAAAAAAAAACCAGCGCACCCGCGGACAAACCAATTATATGGTTTTTGCGGGGCCATATTTGTGCATATTTTTAATTTGTGTCATGTAATTATTTTCAATAAATAAAATAATCATAATAGTGTGATATATGACAGACTGGTTTTTATTACTTTCAATAGGCCAGAGTACGAACATTCTGATAAAATAAGTCACAAAAAAAGAAATTCTAACTTTACACACAATTATGTTGTGGATAAGGATGATATATGAGATACATAAGATATCGGAAACTCGTGGATAGTAAGTCTCTTCTATTTATAATGTTGCCGAAATACGTAATAAGGTCGCACGTGTTCATTATCGAGCGAACTAAATTTACCCAACGACTGTCAGGCTGACACACCACTGTCAGGCTTGCCGCCGATTTCTGTTTAACTATCTAAAATCGATTTAATTTATACACCAAAAACTGTAATTTTATTTTACACTTCATTTTATACTAATCCTATATTTTATTTTCTACTAGCTTCCGCCCGCGACTCCGTCCACGTGGTATTAATCAAAACAAAAGGAAGTAGTCTATGTGTTCTTCCAGACTATGCTCTACAGCTATGCCAAATTTCATCGAGATTTGTACAGCCTTGTAAGCTACAAACTCTAATAAACATCCATCCATCCATCCAAACTTTTACATTTATAATATTAGTAAGATTTCATTTTACCAGTTTTAAATTTGATAATGTCCATAATTATAATATTGTACCTGTAATCTTACTAATATTTATTTAAATTTTAACTCTTAGCTTGTGTATCAATAAAATTTGTAAAAGCAAAAAGTAAAATGTATAAGATAAAAAATGTAATGTTGCAATGAATTAAATAAAGAATATTAAAGGATATGGCTTCCATTGTAGGCCAATTGTATACTCTAGTAAAAAAACCACCAAAAACGCAAAATGATTTTTAACGTATTACCAATATTGTAAAACAACAGTTGTCCAGTGTATTGTTTTATGAAGAAAAGTAGAAAAGTATTAGTTTCTAGGCCATAATTATTTGTAAAAGCAATATAATGTTTTAGTGTGTACCGTATTCCATTAGCAAGGCGTGTCCCACCACGCCCCAACGCCGGCTAGCAATATCATTCTGTCATAATCTCAATATTCATAAAATATAAGCAAAAGCAAAACTGTCAGGATAAAGGTAGACATCATTTATCAAATGAAATATTCGAATGCGTAGTGTTCTCTGAACCCGAATGTGTCGTGCCTAAGTAACGTAATTTATGGCTAAAAAGGTTACCAGTGTTAGTAACAGATACATTTTGTAATACAATTTGATATATACTTTTCTCTTATCTTGATAAATACCTAAATAATAAGTTACATTATACAAAAAAGCAAATGAAAGTAGTGAAATGCAAACTTTCTTGCAAAGCGGTAAATCCAGGGCTGTGCTAGGATCATCACCAGCTTCCTATACATACGTCCCTACTGAGGGGCTCGGAGGCTACCCTAGGTTAGGGTTACTAGTCCAGTGCTGGTTGACTTCACATATATCTTTAAATTTCCTTGCCGACATGTGCAGGTTGTCACGATGTTTTCTTTCCCTAAGAACGCGGGGTAAATTATGTACAAATGAAATTAGAAAAATCGTAAATCACATTGGTACATGGATTCAAACCCAGGACCTGTAGATGACAAGTCAAGTACTTACTTACATAACCAAATTCTTGACCAGACGAATACTAATATAGTTAAACTTAATTCTTATAAATTTAAAAAAATCTGATACAGTGGCTGTTAAAACTAAATTATGAACAAACAGAAAACCTCTTAGTAATACCAAAATAAAACAAGCATAAAAACTCTTTCACTCACCACACACACCCACACACCTACTTACACACACACGCACATATGTGTACATATATACCACATGCGTACATATATACGCACTCACACTCACATACCCAAACACATGTATTTGATCACATATGTACCTAGACTAAGAGAAGGCACTGCCTCCTGTAATACAGGTCCCCACCTAGCTCAGGAGGCAGAGCCCATCGATTATGTTAAACTGATCTTATCAATAAAGTGTTTTTTATTTATTTATTTTTTACTTAAACTCCTGAGCCACCGACACTCAGTAGGATCAACCATCCACATTATAGTCGTCTATCTTGATCTGTTATTAGTTATTTGTATTCTAATTCACAAATAAAAAGTAACCTACCCAATAAAAATTTACCGAAGAAAATTAATTGCCGCCCACAGTCAAGTGGCCACTGAGTCTTTTAGTATAATTTGTATTACAAAATCTACACCAATGAACTTTATAAATGTTTAATCTTATATGTTTAAATTAATCACAAGGCAAAGGATATCATATGCAAAAATTTACATTCGTAGCAACGTTTAAAGTAGTGTCACAAACATTGGATGTTTGAATAGAGTGAGTAATTACGTTCCCAGAAACATATGCGGCTGGTAACGGTATCGCGAAGGAAGCTAATTGAATTTGTAATGCGAAACGAGTAGAGTGGCGCTCCGGAGGGCTTAGCCTTCAACGCTTTGAGTTGTTCTCTAATTGCAACATACAAGTACATCATCATCATCTCCTTATCCTACTCCCGTAGGGTCGGCGCAACAGGTTTTTGTCCTCCACATAACTCTATCATACGTCATCTCAGTCATCACTCCCTTTTTGATCATGTCACCTTTTACACAATCCATCCATCTCTTTCTAGGTCTACCTCTACCGATGTACCCTTCCACACTCATAACTAACGTTCTCCTTGTAACATGCGATTCATCCCTCCTCATAACATGCCCATACCATGCTAACCTTTTACTCCTAACCTTCTCTATTATGGGGGCTACTCTCAAACTTCCTCTAATATACTCATTTCGTATCTTATCCATTCGTGTTACCCCACACATCCATCTTAACATTCGCATTTCTGTCACATGTAGTCTTCTTTCATCCGTCCCTTTTACTGCCCAACATTCAGATCCATACATCATGACAGGTCTTACGACGGCCTTGTAAATTTTCCCCTTTAATTTAAGTGGAATTTGAGGGTCGCATATTACTCCTGTGACCTGTCGCCATTTCATCCATCCCGCTTTTATTCTATTTGTCACGTCACGGTCAATGTAGCCGTCGCTTTGGATTAATGAGCCGAGGTACCGGAAGTCGGAGCAAACTGGGAGATGAGCGCCATCTAAGGCAATCGGGATAAAACTTGATAAGCCCCCAAAGTCACAGAATAACTGCTCTGTTTTTGCTCTACTTATCTTTAGTCCGGCTGTCTCCAGTTTATCCCGCCATCTCTCCAGTCTGCTCTGGACCTCAAGCGCATCTTCCCCAACAAGAACAATGTCGTCGGCGAACAGCATACACCAGGGTGCTTCCTCCTGGATCTCCACGGTTAACGCGTCGATAACCAGGAGGAACAGATAAGGGCTTAAAGCCGATCCCTGGTGCAGGCCCACAGCCACACTGAACTTGTCGGTTACGCCGGCTTCGGACCTGACGTGAGTGTTCGCTCTTTCATACATAGCACTCACGAGTCGCACATACAAGTACGATACCAGTTATATTTATAACAATTTACGTGAATTATATCTTTATTTTCGTACGATTCGTATCACATTGAAATGTTCAATTAACTTATTAAAACTTTCGTGAGACATTATACTATGTTATTTATAACACGGCTAAAACGTGAGTTTTCAGTTTCAGATCAGTTTCAAACCCTTAGGGGGTCCTTCTTCAGGGTGAGTGGATGCCGGCTTTATTCGCTATCGCGTCGCGACGGTCACTGTCAGTGACCACTCACCCTGAAGAAGGACCCCCTACGGGTTTGAAACTGGTCGGTGCCTACACCGAAAGATCCTACGTGAGTTTTAGCCGTGTTATAAATAATATGAAATGTTCAAGTATAGATTACCGTTTATTTATCAATCAATGATACTTTATAGTAGTAAAAACTACTAATGATGCCTAATGATCTCTATCGGTAAAGAACCACGAAAAACAAAAGAGCTAACGTGAAGTCGAATTTTAAACTTGGAATTGATATAGAAAATAATATCTTTTGTTTCATAGTTGACAAAATTTTAATGCTTGAATGCTGGTATTGATAAAATATTCCATTTTAACACATGAATACAGAATTAATTTCGCATCAGTAGGGTCGGGCGTGTCCGATCCAGGAAACCTATTGAAATCTGTTAACAATTTACGCACCCTCATGCGCACGGAATCGATGTGACAATGCCCTTCTAATAACGTATCGTCTCCATGCTTCAGTGCAGATACCTAGACTACATTACAAAGCATTTAGAATAATATAAATTCAGCGGACATTCAAACTATAACATACTAATTATCTAGAATTTAAAAGTAAAAATTAAACAGAAAACAAAATAGATTAACTATTTTTGTTCCCGAGCTTAGCTACAAAAGATACGTTAAAAGGCTAAATACGAGTAGTAGCCTGCAGGTATTTTATCCATTAGTCATTGTTCTAGAAAAGGGTATCAACAACAGATTGTAAAGTTGACAGTGAAAATAAACGGTACAAAATAGCGCCATTAGAAAATAAAGAAGCATCAAGAGGGGCGCTAATGTACCGTCGTCTTTTTAAAATGGACTAAATTTAATCAGCGTAATTAGACACTTTTAAAATAGTGTTATGGTAAAAATCACAGATCTAATACTTTTTTTTAATAAATATTCGAGTAAAAAATATATGTTTAAACGCATCAACTAAGCTTTTTCATATTTTATTGAATAGTTTCATATGTCAGTAAATCGCAATGTATCGAAGTTTCGTGAATTAAAACAAAAATTCGTTGGAATCATAACAAAGGATGGAATAGTAGTCGAGATTTTATTAATAATTCGAAATATGATTTTCACATCAGATATTTCCAACGAATCGCAAATTCAATTATTCGTAATTTCGAAATTATACGTATCGTATGTAAAGGGAAACAAATAAATTCGTAGAAGTTGAACAGAATTCTACGTAATATAATATGAAATATAATTCCCGTAAATAATCCGATGAGGCGCGTTAATATATTGAATGATAAATTTATTACGAAAATTTACTTACATTTTAATATAAAAACATTCATTTGTTTTAATAATTTCTCATGAATTATATACCCTTTGTTTATAGGTTCATTAAATAATATCAAAGATTTTTTTTATATAAGTCTGTGCTCAAATGTAATCACATGAATTGACGTTTTTCTTTGAAATGTTTTATACGCAACATGTTTTTGTTAGTCTCTTAATATGACCGAAAGCTGCGTGTCTTCAGAGCCCACGGAGACTATACAAAAGGACAAGGACCCTCGTCAACAGAAGAAAATGACAACAACTTCCGCTCTAACCATTTTGTATCAACTCGGGGGAAAACGAAAGGGATGTACACATTTTTATTTTACTTATAACTAAAATAAACCTTTAAGAGCCTTACCATTAAAACTTAGACAGTCTTATAAAACATTTTAACTTAAACTTACGTCAACCCTTTATACCATGACTAAAGTCCCGCGCGTATCTTTGTGAAGTCATAGATATTGAAACACTTGATATTCCCACGCGACTTCATCCGCATGAAATTATAAAAACTTTTGTCTTATTGTTTACATTTGTCAAATTCTCAATGTTAAATGTCAAAATTACCGTTACTATTGTAACCTGGTTTTCTTAATGTTGGCACCTTGCACTTTATGGTCCCTTTCCCACATGAAGGTTTTTTTCCAATTTATTTACCCCCTAAGTATAATAACGTGAAAATATGTAAGCTAAAGCGTGTCGTAAGTGTAGGGCTTTTTATGAAAAGAAAAAAATATTCAAAAATATGCTGTAATTGCTGAGATCTTAGGTAACAAAGAAGTGTGTGTTTATGCTTTATTATAATAAGTATAGAGTACTCGTTTAGAAGTATAGATTATGCGTAGACTTGCTAAATGCAAATCCAATAAATAGGAAAGTAATTATACAGAAAGCAACTAAACATAAGTACATTAGTTTACTAAATAAATGATGAACTAATAAAGAAATCTTGATCATTTACTTACCAGATTTGAATCTGTTCGTCTTTAATTAGAATCTGAAACAAGCAGAAAGTCTAATTAGTAAAATTAAAGTTGTAAATTGAATTTAAATGTTTAATTTTACATGTTTGAATAACTAAAAAAGGCTTGTTGGTAACCTTAAAGACTGACTTCATTTCATTCAATAATGAACACATTACATAAATATATAGACACAAAATAACTTAGATTTGTATTCCTTAAGTAAATAAGGTATATGTTTTATTTATCGTCATGTTCGCTATATATTCCGTACGAAACTCTTTTATTCAAGATTTTCAATAACCTCAGTAAAGACCATTGTTTGGGATCCCTCGGGACTAAATTCAATATGGATCACAAATCACCCGAGAACTTTAGCGACCGCATCTTTTTGTTGTCCGTAGTTGTGAGTTTGTTTGATTAGGTATCTATAAAGGATCATTTATTAATTCCATCTTGATATTACTTCGAATTTGATTTAAGTCCTAATTATTTATTATTTTATATTAAACTAACTTTCGCCCGTGACTCAGTCCTTAGAATTAAAAAAAAAAAACGAGTAGCCTATATGCTCTTCCAGACTATCCTCTAAATTCTATCTAAATCCGTTCAGCTGTTTAGGATACAAAATCTAACAAACATCCATCCATCCAAAATTTCGTATTCATAATATTAGTTTGATTAGTGTAATTAAAAGAAATTGATATTTACTTAGTCAAATAGCCTATTTGTTTAGTCTAGATTTCACCTTGCTTTTTAACTTTTCACTGTTTTATTTTAAACCTGAACTAAAGCAATTACATGTTTTTTTTTTTCTTACACGTTTGTAAGGCAATTTTCTTTAGTTCTGGAGGAACTTGTCGCTAGTCCCCGAGAGAGGGCGTCCCTATGTGATTACTCAGTCCGTGGTCATTATTCTGATATGAGAATTCTCCTGAGTGCTATATAGATTATCTTATAGGCGACAGCAAAGTATTAAGTAAATAATAAGTTGATATAAGTTATGTAGCTCCTTATACTAATAAAATCTTAATTTCTAAAGTCTACGCCTTTACGTAACTTGTTGAAATTACGTAGCTTGTTGAAATTAGGAGGCAATGCTTTGATATTTCAGATACCTAATTAAGTACCTGTTGTCCTTCCAACTTATGTTTCAACATTCCCACTCAGCGTCGGATGTTGAGAGCATCAAAGAATGTTTAGATCTGTTTCATCTTACAGTTGAATAATCGTGTGAGAACTTTGGTATCTTGAAAATATACATTTCAGTATTCACCGTAAAATACACATTTTTAAGGCAAGGAATTGACAAAAGAACGCGCGCACACTGTTAAGTCGCGCTCTGAATCCTATGAGCTTATGTAGGTGCGCAAACTCGATCTTTACTTGTGCAATTAAACAGATGAAATGACTGCAAAACAATCGACAATCACCATTTGTGCGATAGTTTAGTCAAAGGTGGGCGCCTTCTCTAAATCTTCTTAATGCGCCCATTTGAAATACATTTTACGTTGATATAGTGAACCAAATACATTGGTAAGAGCTTATACTTTTATTGATTTAAGCTCAATCCGTAATACTCTTCTATTTATATTTAAGGCTGGAAAACGACTTATTTATAGATTCTTAATTTATTATTAATATAAAAGCTGTCACCCACGACTTCGTTCACGTGGTAGATAAATTTTGAACAACCCCAAAATAGGCATTTAATTATCTGTTTTAAAATGTAGTTTTGTGCGATACATTACCATTTTTAGTACTGAAAAGGATTCAAAGAGGTACTTAGATTCAACCCTTACATAAACAACTTAGTTTAAGTTCCTTATTTTCTTTCTAAAGTTATATCAACTATAACAACTTTCAACTTTTACCCTTCTGCGTCATTTAAAGCGGTAAACATACTGCCAACCCTGCTTGTGTTTCCCATTAGGGAATAATACTAAGTAACTTTTTTTTATTGTTATTTGAAAGTTTGACCCCTATAATCAAACGAGAATTTCTGATCCGCTGAAAGAGTCACTGTTACCGCTGTCAATTCTTAGAAAATATTTAACACACATTAGCATAAGAAATGGCATAAAAAGAAATTAAAAGCCGCAGTACAAAAATGATCTTCTAATACTTTCTTTACATTGACAAATGGGCGCTAGAAGTTGACATAGTTTAGTTATGCCTACCGGATCAGATAAGCTTTTCAGTCTATACATCATGGTACGTGTTGATTTATATTGAATTTTTAGAGCTCTTGCACACCTTTGACTAAACTATCGCACAACTGTTTAGTCGCGCTTTGATTCCTACGTACTTATATGGATGTGCGCACACTACTCGATTTTTCGTTGTGCAACTAAACAGTTGAATTGGCTGCGAAACAATCGACAATCGCACAACGTTTTGCTATAATTTAGTTAAATTATTTAGTTAAATTCTTGTATTACAAAAAAGTTGTCAGACATGTT